TTGTGATAACGTAGCGAGGGCATTCATAATAGCATCTAACTTAGACTCTGAACTTTCTGTCATACTAATGTCTTGACCTCTGGCCATTCTAAAAGAAGGACAAAAATGACCCTATAAGAGGCAATATTGGTTTATAGGAGGGTAATCCACAACTTATAAAACGCCTTAAGAATTTCAAGAAGAGGGGTAATCCACTCTCTCCAAGAAGAATAAGACTCCAATATTATAACAGAAGAAGTATCAGTTTAGAGGAGGGTAATCCGCAACCTCTAAAAAATGCTAATATACCTTCAAGTAGAGGGGTAATCCACACTCTACTAAGAAAGAACTAGCTCTGATATCTCAAGTTAGTGTAGTCTCGACAAACTGTCACGGACACAAAATATAGACTTAAAATCTAACAAGAAGTTCAAGAAGAAGTGGCAGAACTAGATTGAACAGATGAGTACTAGAACAACACCAGAAAGGTGAGCTAGAACTCCAAGAGATGTGTTGTCGAGACTGAAGAACTCTTCAGCCTCGATCCCTATATATACTCCTACTTAGGAAGCTTCTCGAGCTACTTCTATTAACTAGGAAGCTTCTAGAAGGTTCCAGAGGCTTCCTTTCTAGAAGGTTCTAGAAACTTCTCAAGCTACTTCTATTAACTAGGAAGCTTCTAGAAAGTTCCAGGGGATTCCTTTCTAGAAGCTTCTAGAAACTTCTCTTCTAGAAGGTTCTAGAGACTTCCTTTCTAGAAGCTTCTAGAAACTTCTCTCTAAAAGGTTCCAGAGGCTTCTCTTCTAGAAGGTTCCAGAGGCTTGTTTTCTAGAAGGTTCTAGAAACTTCTCTCTAGAAAGTTCTAAGGAATATGTCCCTAACACCAATTCATTTTGTGATAAATTATAGATTGGTCTAAATGGCGGTTGTGCTCTTTCTTGAAGATCAATTGAGCACTGATAAGAATGATGTTCTAGAAGAGTATTCACATTCTTCTTTTCAAATATATCTTGAAATTCTTGATAATGGCTTGGAATGCCACTTGAAGTCTTCGCATCATTAGATACACGTGTGGCATAAATGACACAAGGTGATCCTTCTTTTACACCATGCAAGAAAGCTTTTGCATCTACAAATATAGGTTTAATTGCACTAGATTTATGACTTTCTACTAAAATAATTTCTCTCTTAATCATGCTTTTAGAAAAGTCAAGGATACAAGAAATCTAATGTATGCAAGCATTATATTTTTTTAACTATGATAAACCATTAAATGATTGGATTAGAGGGATATCTAATTATATTAAAGATTATGCAATTACAATGATTATTTATTGCTACATCTATAGGAAGTGTTTCATGAGTAACATCTCCAGAAGACAACGTACAACCTTCTATGACTTCTACATGAACAGATTTGATTTTTTATACTAACGATATTTTATGACTTTTAACAAATTTTACATTTAAGAAACAAGCTGAGGCTCCTAAATCTATTAAGGTCGAGGCTTTATAATTATTAGGTCCTAAATGCATATCTATTATAAAACAAGGAGAGGATTGTGGGGAAAGGATAGGACCTTCATTAGAAATTGTGTAAGATTCAAGCTGCACAGTCCCTATTGTAGCTAGATAAATTCATTTTTTGACACAATCTCTTCTTTGACAAATGTGCTCCTTATTTTGTGATTTTGTCACTTCTTTGGATAATTTTGAGCAATGTGTTTAGATTCTCCACAATATAAGCACAATCCTTTTTGACGGCGATAAGTCTTTTCTTGCTTGGTAAGAAGTTTAAAATGTATCACATCAATTTTCATATCCCTTGCTTTTGAATGTATGTGTTGAAGAGACGTTGATGTTGCCATTGAATTGTAGTATTGTTGAGGCCTATTTGTACGACTCTCAGATCAAAATTCAAAAAGTCGATTGTCGCATTTCACAGCAATGTCAATTGCTTGACTCAATGTTTGAGGATCAGGTAAGTTGAGCATCAATTTCTTTACTTCATATTGTAATCCATAGAAAAATTGGCTATTAAGTACAGTATCATTCCACTTGATATCAATTGTCAGTTGTCAAAACTATGAAGCACATAACGTTAAAGATCGATTGCTTTGTCGCAAACTCAGATCTTATTAGTTGCAATATAAGTTGCACCATGTTCTCTATACATGGACTAGAATTCTACCTAAAATGCCTCCATATTATTCAATATTAGATCTCATCATTCAAGAAAGGATGAAAACCACAATAGTACTAAACTTGAAAGAAGTATACCAATGAATTTAACTTGTGATCTTAGAGTTGGATAGCTTTGAGGTTGAAGCTCAATCACAAGTTGTACTTCATTGATAAATCCTCAAAATTTGGATCTTATACCATCAAACTTCTTGAGCAAGACAACTCTTGGTTCTCTAGTATTTGAATGATGTTCTACTATGGGTGGAAGGATATGATTTGATGCAGATATTAAAGTAACTCTAATCATCTCTATATCCTCACTTCTTGCCATTCTTTTTGATCCTTGTAGTAGTAAGCTAAGTTGATGCATTGTAAGTATTAACTCCTTCAATTGCTCTTACATTTGTGCCATTGCACTCTTCATTTCAACAAGCTCTGCCATAATAATACTCAGAAAAATATCTAGTACTACTCAAGTCAAGTAGAAGAAAAGACTTGAGGACAAAAAAAATACTAAGAACAATATCAGTTTAGAAGAAGGTAATCTGTAACTTCTAATATGCTTATGTCTTATCATGAAAAAGGGGTAATCTACTCTTATTCAAGACAAGACAAAGCTCTAATACTATAAGTGTACTCTTATCAATCTGTCAAGGACATGCACGAAAAGATGATGTATAAACCAATGAAATTCGTGTCAAAGAAAGAGTGACAAAATAGAAATAAGGAAATACGTATATTAAAAGAAATTGGAATGACTTATTGCCAAAAGACAAGAAAACTTAAAACTCTTGAAACTAAGCTAGAAACAAGAAAGGACTTGACAAGAGTGAAGAGGGCCTCATTCTTGTCTCTATATATAGTATCTAACTAGGGGCTATGTGGCGATGTTCTATAAGACCTCCAATATGTGCTGACTTTATAGGACACATGCTTTAACTTATAAAGCTAGTTTTTCTATGTGTGGGCTACATAGTTAGCTTGATCTTTAAGCTAACAACATGTGTGGCACATGGCCAACTAGTTGACCATGTTTCTAACCCAAAAAATCAATTAAAAATACCTATAAAATCAAAGTAGCATCTATAGAGCTTCTAAGAAGCTTTTATAAAAGATATTATAGAATTAACTTTCTTTTACCTACTTCTTCTTACTTCTACTTATTTATACATGTAATTACATGCATATGTCCGTGAGAATAGCTTAACCATTTTAATTTTGCTAAATTATTCCAATAGATTTTATAATATACATGATTATAATTTTTATGTTTATGAATTATTTTTAGAGTTATTATATAATATTTTAAAATTTATAAAATATATTTTTATTGGATATAAATTTAAAAATTAAACTATAATTATTAAAGAAGAAATAATTTTTAATATTAGATTTAGTAATACTTGTATTATATTTAAACATATTTTAAAGTATCACTTTTTAATACAATAATATAATTGACTAAATGTCATATACATATAAAGAAGATTTCAAAATCTTTGAAAAATCTTCCACATTATGGTAGATCTTTTTAGAACATTCTAAGAACTTGGTAGAAGTATGTGGTAGATAGCTTAGGAACTTCAAGCCTTAGGTCTTGCAAGTAGTATAAATATAAACAAGACTAAGGTCCTCCTTAATCTTGTCAATTCATCTCTTAAATTAGTTCTTCTAGTGGCCTTTAGGCCTTTTTGTTTTTGACATAAACTATTGATCATTGTCTTGTTAGCTATTCTTTCTTTTTTTGCACACATCTTAGTTGTTAGTTCTTGAAACTATTTCTACCTCATTGAAGTTCTAAGTGTGCTCTTGACACCAAACTTGACTTTAAAATTTTCTTTTAAATTTGGAATTTAATTTTTCTAAATATTTTTAATATTTAAAATTAAAGATAAGTAAATTAAGCATTTTATTTCTTTGTTACATGTAAACATTAATAATTTTGTTATATATAAATACACACAATATATTTGATTTCAAATTGAACATTAAATAAAAGCTTTTAAATACATTACATTGAATCTTTTAAATTAAGTAGTAATAATTAAATTAATTTTATTAAAAATAATATTATCAAAAGATATTATTAAATATAGAGTAATATTTTTCTAATACACTTCTAGCTTAATTAATTAAGCTAGTATAATAATAAGCTTATCTATAGCAGTAAAGAGAGAAAGAAGTTTAAGATAATATTTAATTATAAAACAAAAATAAACTCAAATAGAAATCTCTACACATCAAAAATAGAGAATCTTCAACAAAAACTAGAATGTAAGGAATACATCAATAAGATTGTGAATGACATTAGACTTGCCTCTACATATAGTGGCTAATAAGAAGACCATGTGGATGCTTTTTGAGAACCACAAGACTTATAAACTTCCATATTCTACAACATCTATTAATACATATGTAAAATTTGTAAAATATTGTTACATCTTAATTAAAACTTTCTTTAATAACAAAATACCTTTTTTTATCTTTAACTAAGGCAATATCAAAAAAACTCAAGTAAGGTGTCACCATATCTTTTATTGGATGCAAAAAAACATTTATCTTCCAACTTATTATATATATATATATATATATATATATTCTGAAATGTTTATTTGTACTCTTTATTTCCTTTAATACTTTATCAACTTTAAAATTAATTATCTCATTAGAAATTACAAAGAATCATGAGATGAAAAAATATTTTAACAAAGAAATAACACGACGCTGAAACACTAATCATCATATATCTAGTTGGGAATGTCGAGTGACGCCAATAGTCGGCGGCAATTTGCGGTAGTTTGCGGTGGGTAAGAAGCGAACACCCAAGCGGCTCGTCAGAGCGATCAGCTTATGATTGACGGAGTGTGCAGGGTTCATGCTCAAAACCACTAGTCGCGCATTCGTAAAACAGCTTGAAAACGTTTAGATGCCAAATTGTAATGTAGAGAACTAATGCGTGTGAAGTATGCTGTTGCAAGGTCTGAAGACTTCGTGTGCTTCCTCTTCAATAATTACGTGTCTGTGAGTTGTGAGTATGTGAGAGGAATTGTTGCTAACATTTCGATAGCACAGAACGCGTTGGAATACGCATGTGGTCGATGAGACTTGGACGTGTGATGTAATGCATAGACGGCACGGATAACCCGCACAGTGGCTGTGAAAACCTACCGAGGGATGTAGAACTTGTTGAAGGTTTTCCAGTGGGAGCTCTTAACAATTGACGATGAAGTTCTTGAGCACTCGCACTATTATTTTGAGTGTTGGAATCGGGGTTATTGTTGGAATATTTGGTCTACTGGTGACGGAGAAAAAGCTGCTTAATCCCTTGCAGTTTGGTAAGCAGAAACTCCAGTCTGGTGATATAACCACATTTTCAACACGATTAGTGTTTGGCGCGAATTCCACATCGTTCTCTGCCAGAATATACTCCTACGACATTGTGAAGCTTAAGAGGAAATTAGAGAGCAAGCAGAACATGTTTGTGGATATTTCTGGATCGGGGGACACCAGGACCGTCCAGGAAGCCGTGAATGCTGTCAGGCGCTACAATAAAAAACGTGTGACAATTTACATTAACGCGGGAACGTACATGTAAGTTAACCTACTAGTTTGATGGTGGCCTTTTGACATTGCAAATCAAACTCTCTTACACAGGCCTGGTCGGACCCTCCGAGCATTTCTAGCAGAAGGCTGCAAGGGTTATGTCAATGCTTGCAGTCTGTGCGTACGCTCGTATGACAAATAGTGTTTATAGCCTTACTATGTTGCTGAAAACGATTCGAGTTCCTTGGGAAATGTTTCCGTCCCGAAAGATGTATCAATCTTTGATGATTTTAGCTTTTAATTGATCGGTATTCGCATCATTCATCCCTGGAAAGTAAAAAACGGTGTGAAGAACACGAAATTTTACTGTGACTGGTGGTCTCAACAAATCAGAGTAAGAGTTGACAATAGGACGAGAGAAGCCATTACTCACAGAACCTTGATTGTTACTGATAACTCTCAGTGAGAAAGTACATGTGCCGCACAACAAACCATATATTACATTCGAAGGAGCTGGTCTGCATCATACTATCATCAGCTGGAACGATAATCAGACCTTAACTAATGGATCGACCATTCATACGGCGTCAGTGACTGTGGATGGAAATTACTTCATTGGGCGCAACCTCAGCTTCCGGGTATCTTCTCACATCTTTGTTAATAAAGAATCATTTAAGATACTCGTACAGAAAATATGAGCTTATCACGCATGATCCACTTAAGGACACAAAACTTACCATGTGAACCCTATTCATCGTGAACAGAACACTGCTCCAATACCGTTACCTGGGGTAAAAGACGGCGGGCAGGCAGTTGCACTTCTGGTTAAGGGAGACAAATGTGCCTTTTACGGATGTGGAATTTATGGATATCAAGATACATTGTACGATTACAGTGGTCGTCACCTGTTCAGAGAATGTCATATCGAGGGTGCAGTCGATTTTATTTTCGGCAATGCTAGATCCCTCTACGAGGTAAGTAGAACCTGGACAAATTTACGTCATTCATTTTCAGAACTTGCTAAACAGAAGTGTAGAAAATACTAATCTGCTGACTTCCGCAGCGATGTACCATTCACTCAATTGCGAGCAAAGCAGGATCCATCACAGCTCAATCCCGGGCAAGCAAATTTAATGTTACAGGATTCGGATTCGTGAATTGTTCCATCGTTGGAACTGGGCAGATATTGCTGGGGCGAGCATGGCGCCCTTACGCTCGTGTTGTGTTTGCTTCATCGTTCATGGATAACATCATTGATAGCGCCGGATGGAACGATTGGGGAAACAGCAGTGCAGACTCGTGAGTACCTTTTGCTTGTCGCCATAACGTAAACTTGATGATTTTCTATTGCAAAGTGGCTGATAGCGTAGATAGATTTAACATCCTGCTGTGTGCTGTCCACCAAAGCAAGCATCAAACAACTCATGGGCTATAGGGCTAAGATTGCATGAAAGAAATACAAGAGATAATCTAGAAATCTGTATGATGTCCGATCTGCATGTCAAGCATGCGAGGATCAGGGCTCTTGCACGAAAGAAGTCCGATGTAAGTTTTGTTTACATTTTGATTATCAGGTCTGTCTACTTTGGAGAATTTAACAACAGCGGGCCAGGAGCAAATATGTCTGGGCGTGTACCCTATGCGCGGTCCCTCTCATTCGAAGAGGCTCTGGGGTGCACTCAGATCGATTGGATCGATGGTTCTGAGTGGGTCGACGACCGATAAACGTGGCCAACTCTGTACTCTTCAATACACAAATGCACAAAATGTCACAATTTATTGACTTAGGTTGCGAGATTTCCAATGAGGACTGTAGATTCTTTTGGTGAAAATATTTTGGAGTTTGAATGATTAGTTTTAAAATTGTAACAATTGGCAGATTTACTATGTCCCACGTACATACCATTGTACGCTACTACAAAACACACCTTGCCCTCCTTCCGAGTGACTAGTGTGGTAAATGTGGAGGCTACTAATTAGTCTTGTTGAACGAAACAGGATCCAACTACGCTGATCGATTGTTCCGGATAGAGGCATTACGTTGAAACTCTGTTCTAACAGGTGAAGGGGCACGACTGTGACAACTGGTTCTGATACATCCTGGTGGTAATGTGGGACTATTTGTGTTATCCGCTATGTTTGGAGAGACCTAGACTCTAAAGACAAGGATTTCAACATCTTCAAAGATGGTTAGATTGTCAAAATAACTTGTTTAGGGTCTTAGGGTATTGAACACAATAACGAAGTGATCTGTACGTTCACCAATGATCTCTGTGCATCCAGACATTAGACTTAGTATATGTAGACCCTCTGCATCGTGAAATAGATCTCTTCTTGATTCATTTTCATTGATATGAATGTGTTTGATGCTTTATCTAACATGGTATCAGAGAGTCGTTAGACCTCTCTTTTTTTCTTTATTTCTTTCTCTTGTATCCACTAGTAGTACAAACCATGCCGAACGACAATGTGGTCCCTGAGGAGGTAAAACTCGCAAGATCTTCCACCTATGGAAGTACATGATCACTAGAGTGACAGAACGAGAGAGATTGTCGGAGATCCTATCTCCTCCCTCAACCAAATCATCTTCTAAAGGCAAGGAAAAACAGTATTCCAAGGACCTTACAGATGAGGAATACAAAGATGATAGATATGAACGTCCGATGTACATACTCAGTATATTGATTAAGCCCAGCTTGCTAGCCGTCGTTACTGACTTTTACGAACCAAAAAAATTGTGGGACTTTTTACGTGACTCGTTTAATGTGCAAATGACAGAAAAAAATTCGGCCTGAAGAACAGACTTGATTTCATCATATTCTTTAAGCACAATAGAGTCGAACGTTATTTCTCACAATTTCGACGCATTCTCGCAGAGCTCTTTGCCATAGGGGTCGAAGTAGATGACTCTGGTCTTGTTCAAATTGTTGTCAAAGCTCTACCTGACTCCTACGAAAACTTCTTGAGTAACTACACCAGCGGCGGAGGTTACCCCATCCCAGATAAACTTCAGTCTCGGTTCACGCTCGAGGAGAGCCGTAGATGAACGAGACCCGAAAGGCGAAACACTACTCGCAAAGCTCTCTACTTCCGCCTGAACCACAAAAGCAGTTAATCTCATCGTCATTATGGCACTTTCAGCTCTCACCACGGCTATTCCAGTACGCTAAGATAATCGAACACAATTCAATGCACATACTGTTGAAAACATGGTCATCCGAAACATATGTATCCCAAAAGACTTAGTAACATAAGGAAACTCAAAGCGGACAAAATGTCAAAGCTAGGATTACGTTTTCAATCCGCGAACATAGTTCACGATGAGACCTCATGGCCAAACTTGATGACAATATTGACCCCATTCCTCTCGAAGAAACCAGCAATGACCAGCTATTTGAAGCAGCGATTTCTTCACTGAATGCTCACGACCACGATCCAAGATGGTACCTCAACTCCGGGGCCATACAACATGTCTCCAGAGGGCGATACAACTTTGATAGCTTAGGAGGATTTAGTGGCAATGTGAAAACAACAGAAGGTCACAGCCACCAGATAGCCGGTTGCGGCATTGTACATCTAAAGTTCCCATTGGGAGAAATAAAAGAAGTATCTGATATTCTGTACGTTCATGGATTACAAAAGAATCTTTTGTCCATTGGCTACTTTACCAACAGAGGCCTCATAGCATGTTTTAGCAACTAAAAATGCATTTTGTACAATGGATCTCATGATCGCATAACAGCTAAAGGTACACAAAATAGACGGAACGGATTGTATCAACTCAACACAAGCAATTCAGAGATCGCAACCAATCTGACTTAGACGGAACTACACACAATCGGGTTGTGGCATTACAAGCTAGGGTACACTATCAACCCGAGACTTCATGATCTATCAGCTCAAAACATGGTTGATGGAATTCCATACATTTCGGTACACAAAGAAGTCTGCGAACATTGTCAAGCGGGCAAGCAACATCAAGAAGCATTCTCCAGAATGAGTGTTACAAAGTCAACTAAAATTCTTGAATTACCTCACATAGAATTGTGTGGTCCCTTCCCGATCACATCTCCAGGTGGTTCCGATTGCATGCTAGTCATAGTCGACGAGTAGAAACGAACTGCAATCTTCTTGACATGGCGCATAACATGACCACTCGAGCCATCACACCCAGTTTTCTTTGGATAAAATCTGTCAACACCGCAACTTTTATTCTTAACCAATCACCCACCAAGGCTCTTCTTGAGGTAACACCATACCAACGCCTCTATTATAAAAAACCTGATGTTTCTTTTTAGCGGATTTTTGGATCTATCGTACATGTTTGGGTAGAAAAGGAGTACCACGACAAACTATAGCTGCTCTCTAAAACATGCCTTGTTGTCGGCTACGACCAAAACACCAAATGTTACTGCATTTGGGTGCCATCCAAACACAAGCTAGTTATCTCAAGAAACATTAGATTTTACGAATCTAGCATTCTAAATTGAATTTGACCATTCCACCTCGACATAATTCAAGTACCAATTGCCTCACATTCCACGAGAATCTTGGCCCCTGATCCAACCGAGCAACCAAGCCCCGCAGAAACCACTAATTCCAAAAAAAACAAGGTCGCTACCACCGGACCATACGATCCAACACAATCCCGCTCACTTCGCCAGTAGCACCCCGCTGGAGGCGCTGCCACCAACAGGTCATGCCACACCACTCAACTACATTGCGCCACCCGTAAAAATTGCCCCGTCGCTGCAGTTGCAGCAAATGCCAAATCGGACACGACAGCCATCATCCCGCCTTCACGATAGCGTCACTTTCTCCGTAGAACCAGGATCCGATGGAAAGCCCAGAGTCGTTGCTCATGGCTTCTAGCAAAAGAAAGGTATCGATTATGACAAAGACTTTGCCCCCGTCGCCAAATGGAAAGTCGTTCTCTCTGTCATTGCACTTGCTTCAAGTCATCAATGGCCGATCCTCCATTTAGATGTTAAGACCCCATTCTTGTACGGTGACCTCAAGGAATCCGTTTACATGGAAGTTCCAGAGGGCTTCCGAGACACTATCACATACAGAAAAATTTGTCGACTGAAGAAATCCCTCTATGGGCTCAAACAAGCTCCTTGTACATGGTCCGAGAAAATCAATACATTTCTAGACAATCATGGTCTCTCACGTACTGAACCGGACTGCAGTTTATACTACCTCCAAGACTCTAAGGAGTCACATTTCTAATCCTCTATGTCGACAACCTTTTACTCACAGGATCAAACTCTCAAAAAATCCTGTGGATCAAGACAGAACCCATGAAAAGGTTTGAAATGTCGGACCCCGAGAACATCAACTACTACTTGGGTGTAGAGTTCATCCGACATCCAAAGGAGACCTTCTTTTCCCATCTATTGACAGAGTTTGGTACGCAGGATTGCACACCGTTAACGGTTCTTATGGCAATAGGTTTGAAACTCAGTTAAGAGGAGAGTTCACCCTTGGTCGATGCCCAAAAGTTCCAGAAACTCATTGGTATGTTGATTCACTTAGTTAACACAAAACCTGAAATTTTATTCACCACAGGGGTGCTCAGCAAATTCAAGCACAGTCCGAGAGTGCCCAGCTAACCAGATACTCAGATATATGGAAGGAACACTGAATCTCGGGATCTTCTGTAGACGTAATGAAAGCCCCACTGTGTTGAGATATACAGACTCGGATTGGATCAACTGCCAAATCAATTGAAAATCCATCACAAGATAGATCTTCAAATCAGCAGGTGGTCCAGCCTCTTGGGCATTGAAAAAACAATTAACAGTGGCTGTGTCCTCCACTGATGCAGAAGCCTAGGCTTTGGCCGAAGGGATCAAAGAGGCAATATGGCTTCAAACACTATGTTCTCAAATCCATGGCACAGTTCCAAATCCCATCTTGTTATTCTATGATAGCCAAAGCACACTCCAATCGGCACGCAATCCTTTCTTCCATGATAAATCAAAACCCATGGAGATGTGGGTCCATTACATCTAAGACAACATGCTTACAGGAGTGGTAGACTTTTTCTACATACCCACTGAAAAACAAATCGCGGATCTTCTCACTAAACCGATGGAAAAACAGCAATTTACTTAACTTTAAGAAGAAATGGGCATACAAGATCGAAACATGCTAATGTAAGTCACCTCTCACAAACGACTCTACCTCCTCAAATTCCCTGAATTTTCTGTACCTCGATCCTCGATATCTGCGGACTTGGTCCTCGCACTCCGACGAAGACAAGTATACACCAGTCTTTTGTCCGCAAAACACACCATAGAATCCCTTTGACAAAATCGCGGAGCTACTTCCAGACAAATAATTCATTTGCTGGTCACCTTTGACTCACGGCGAACTCTTGATATGCTCATCTTCTTTCAACGATCGCCTCACAATTCCAAAAAAACAATCCAGACATGAATCGCAGCATCGGCACAATGTGGCGATGAAGAACCACAAACCAAACAAGATGTACCGCAACTGAATAAAAAAAACCATTTTACAAATTAGATCAAATCCTTTAATACAAGCACTATCATTGGGGGGAAAAAAAAGAGTCTAGGTTGCGATATGAGGCGCCAAGGATAAACCAGGGCCAAGCCAGCGAACGAAACCAAAATTATGAATAACCCATAAGGTTCGGAGGCAATGTAGTCAGAGTATAGTATAAAGACTCTGCTCTGCATAGGGATCATTACTTACCTGGGCGGGGTCGATCCATGATCAGGAAGGTGGATGGCCTAGAGGAACCTGCCCCATTGCACTATCGGGCCGGGTGACTCTAGTATCTCTCTACGGAGGGCATACACGTCATAATTTGTGGCAGAGGGGGCTCGCGTCCGCGCGGCCCCCACCCAAAACAACATCTAAGCCTGGAATTCTATGACCCACATATCCAGAATTTTCGCGACATAAACGAGGCTGATGGTCTACCAACAATGGTGTCATACTCCGGATACGAGTATCTACTGTACATTTAGAATGAACAATTTGTCACTCACTGTGTTGCAAAAACACCCCCGTAGAAGGTAATGATGCAATTCATAGCTGTTTGTTGTTTATAAAATTGATGTCAGTAAAGGCTGTAGTGTATACATGTTTTTTTTTGCAGGTATTGAATCATGGTTGAGGAATATTTTTTGTGGCTTAGTTGATTTATATTTATTGAAAAAGTAACCTTGTTTTGAGAATGAGAATAATAATTTTAATTTTCATATTTAATTAATATAAAATTTTCATAATAGTTGTGTACAAAATACACAAATCAGAAATTGTAATCTTTGTTGTTTTCTTGAGCTTAGTTGTTTTTATTGCATATGTTATTGAGT